GGCACGCTCACACACGGGAGGGCAGCGAAGAAATGAAACGGGCTCCATCTTATGAGCGAACACAAGATGGACGCGCGGCCTCACCCTCTTGGACCACGCCCGGGCAGTCCCAAGACATCTCCCGATCCACCCCCCCCCCCTGCATCTCCCACCCACCCCTCCCACCCCTCCCACATCTCCCACCCACCCCTCCCACATCTCCCACCCACCCCTCCCACATCTCCCACCCACCCCCACCCACCCCTCCCGCATCTCCCACCCCTCCCGCATCACCCACCCCCCCTCCCGCATCTCCCACCCACCCACCCACCCCTCCCACATCTCCCACCCACCCCTCCCACATCTCCACCACCCACCCCTCCCACATCTCCCACCCACCCACCCACCCCTCCCACATCTCCCACCCACCCACCCACCCCTCCCACATCTCCCACCCACCCACCCCTCCCACATCTCCCACCCACCCCTCCCACATCTCCCACATCTCCCACCCACCCCCTCCCGCATCTCCCACCCACCCCCACCCCTCCCGCATCTCCCACCCCTCCCGCATCTCCCACCCCTCCCGCATCTCCCACCCACCCCCTCCCGCATCTCCCACCCACCCCCTCCCGCATCTCCCAACCCTCCCACATCTCCCACCCCTCCCACATCTCCCACCCACCCCTCCCACATCTCCCACCCACCCCCTCCTACATCTCCCACCCCTCCTCCATCTCCCACCCCTCCCACATCTCCCACCCACCCCTCCCACATCTCCCACCCACCCCCTCCGACATCTCCCACCGCATTATCGCGGCGGCGGCGATTGTCGCCAGACCTGCAGCCACACGGACATCGCAGCTGCCTTGCCCCCCCCCCCTCTGCGTCTGTATATAGGTGACAAGAGTTGCGAGCGCCTGTGTAACATCAACAAGACTAACAATGATCATACCACATCGGTGCGCGCGCTGCCCGCCTGCCAACTCACGCCGTCATTGCTTGTGGGCTGTTAGGGTTCGAGACGAGAGCAGGCGGCCTCGCTCCCAAGTGGTTTACGGTCGCTTTTAATTGATTGCGGTCCTCGTCTTTGTTTTTAAATCCTTTATATTAAGTTCACTTGCTTGCTTGCTTGCGCGCTTACGACCGTGCAAATCTTTCGGTCGTTTTTAACCCACTTCCCGTGATCCAATCGAGCTGACATTTTGCACACAGACTCGTTGTGCGTGACAATTCTTTTCGTGATTTTTTTTTCTCCAAAATTTGACACTTTTTAGGAATTTTTTTTTATATTTAATTACCAATTGCTTAATGGTAGCAGTCAATCATCTGACCCATAGGTGGCAGCCATCTCAAGCCAGAGGACGAGCGGACTCTAGCCGCCCGTTTCAAAGACCAATGTGGGCTGGGTTGTGGCCCACTGAACACGCATATAAAGGATTTATAGCGAAAAACTTTGTTTTTACGGGTTAATTTTTTATTTCGTGCGGTGCCGGAGAGTCGATGAGCCACGTTCGTGGGTTGCCGACTGATGAGAGGCCGTTGACTGGTGAGGCGGATAGCTTCAGTGACCCCGTGACGAAGATCGGTAATGCTGCCAGCAAATAATAATCATCGGATGGGTCAGCGGTCTCAGATATCGTGTAGACTGACCTAAAGGTGCACAGGCTCGCATAGAGACCCCCAAAGACTCGCATAAGAGACCCGTAGACTTAAGCAAACAATTGTACGGTGTTATAGTGGTTAGGGGTCACCTGCCAGTCGCCCACATATTGACACAACCACGCAAAACTTTACGTTTGCACCCTTAACCACGACGCCAATGCCATGCTGTTAATCGAAGGACGTCTATGTTCCAGAAGCTGTAGTATATTATTTTAAGACAATTTGGCGTTTCATTATCAGTATATATATATATATACACGCATAGCCAACGGCTCGTGTTAATTGTTATGAGCGCACGATATCCGTGCCATACCGCAGACATACGGGTCATGTGCACGTGGGCTCTGCGTGTGCACACAGCACGCGTAGACTAATTTGCATCAGTCGGCGAGTGCACGTTGCAACATTGGCTCGGTTTTTCCAGTCTCGGGCCATGATGCGTGCACGTGGATTCATTGAGTAGCTGGGATGCGCCTGCAATGACTTCACCATAAGCGCTTTGTCGCACAGCCTCGGCAGAACGTAGTCGCACACAGAGAGACCCGCAGACTCACACAGAGCCCCATCGACTCGCAAAGATGATCAGCGAGACCTGTTACAGTGGCTTCACGATCAGCGGTGTTTCTTCTTTTTCTCGCAGGAACCTGTAGACTCACATAGAAGAGGACACATCGGGTCACGCACAAACAAAGGTTCACACAAAAACCCAGAGGACTCACAAAGCCACGTACGGATTAAATGAAATTGGACGATTTTGTGCCTACGAAACCGTGAGCGCTTTCGACCGACAGAAGGGCAGATCCAGCCCGCGACAGCATCCCGGGAGAACTGGTCTGGTGGGAGTCTCGCACCGCAGCAGTTGCAGCAACCTCACCGCTATCATCGCCACACCCGTTACCTGTGTGTGTGTGTGTACCAATTATCAATTAACCCACGTGCACGCGTAATCAGTCTTGACTGGTAACCCCCGTGGCGAACGCTCCACTGCTCTGCAATTAGTGCCACTAACGTTAAGAGACCATTTCTGCAATTCGAACTCCATCCATATGGCGACGGGGTTTTTGTTATTGCTGTTGTTGGTCCAGGGATGTTTAAAAATGTTTGTTTCCGTATGTGTGTGCAGCGGCAGAACGATCTGCTCAACTCACGGTTGGATTCCCGCACACGTCCGCTCATTTATTCACGGAGGATTTTTGTGAACACCAAAACGCCGCCGCCGTCGCTTGCTTCAAGAGTAGACGTTAAAGACCCCGTGGCATAATTTGCAAGAGTATATGCTGTTGTATGCATGTGTTACATCCCAGCCTTATCATTAAAATGTACACTCGCAACTAATTCTCATGCATAAGCGCTATCAAAAATATATACATTTGGTGCCAATAACGTTAAATACGTAATTACATTTTCATGTGTTTTGTAAAATGAATGCATTGCAATATGGTATAGACATTATCATCTGGCTAAATAAATCTACTTAAGTATTCGCACGAATCAACGATCCGCTAACAAGCAGAAGTTTCAGGCATTGCTTTTACATTTTAATGACAGTTCCAGGAAGTTTTGTTTTACTGTTATGTATTTTCATTGGGTTTTGTATGAGATGAGTGTGGCATTGAGGTCTGTTTAAATTTGAACTTTATGGCGGGACCCCGGGGTTCCATAAGCCCCCGGCTCTCGCATTGTATGTCTGTTGAAGGCGAACGACACGACGATCAATTCCTCTCGACGAGCTCTACACGACGCGCTCATCAAAGTTTCAAAGTTTTGTTTCTTCTGCGCATTCGTCCTCGCTGCTGCGCTTGGACGACACGGCAACAGAATGGTCCGCGCCAGGCTGGTCGCGGCGTTTGTGTGCGCGGTGGGACGGCGTCGCCAAAAATAAATGTATCAATTACCATTATTTACTTACGTTTATTTGGGACCCCGGGGTCGCGCCATGAGGTTCATTTGACGCCTGTCTTGTGGGTGGGAGGGGGTAGGGGTGCAGGGGAAATGGGAGGGAGTGGGGGGTGGGGGGGTGGTTTCGTCTTTGATAGGGAGGGAAACGTACAGCGTAGACGGCCTACGAACCGTGTACGTAGGTTCGGCGTCAATTCTCTTTAAACATGCTACCACCGCTTTAGTAGAGAGGCAATTTACTACAAATTGGATGTTACGTAATAATCTGTGTCGACACAGGAATGCGAGTGAGCATAATGCTTCCCATGACATGTTGTTTTTTTTCATCCTAAATGCAAGTTCCCAAAGCTCAACGCTTTGTTAAATAAAATAAGACAAATGTTTCCTGAACAATCGAGCACTCTGAGCCAGCACGATATTTCCAAAGATCCCCCGTATAGCCTTAACAGACTGTTTGGGCAAGTGCTGTTAGCGAGGACCTATGAAGGCCGGAACGGTATACGAGGGAGGCCAGTGCCACGCCCGACCGCCTTTGTCTCCCCAGTGGCGATGTTCACACACTGCACCATACTCATTTGAGGCTGAGTCGACCTAGGGGAGGCCGATGACCGGTTCTGACAATTGTCACTGGTGTTGGCCGTGAGCGGAAATCGAACTCTGGTTCGTAGCGCGGCACGCTAACCGCTTCACTACCGATCCCCACACCAATCTATGCGCGTTCAAAGTTAAACACCGATCACGTCATCCTTGCGTGCAGACATGACGCGCGTTGGTTCTTGATACACGGGTACGCATGGTATTCAATGCTCGTTCACGAACGCTTGGCATATTTAGACCCAGGATCTGGAGGATCCGTGCCGTGTTCTTCATTACCGCACTACGTAAACTAACTACAGTAATTTTGCTGTGGCTGTTCCACCTGATGACGGAAGCTTGTGTTGCCTCCGAAACGTCGTGATTTAATTTAGTTATTTTCATTTTTAAAAAGTTCCATCTACGTGACTTTACCGAAAGAACCAAAGAGTATTTCTCACTCAATATTTGTCCGGAACGCTGGCATGGAGTAAAGAGTATTGGCGCAAGGCACTACCACTACCACTAGAGTGCGAGTTGTATGCGTACTCAGAATAATCATATATCGTCGTACATTTGTATATGCTTATAATCCTATGAGCAGGGTTACTGTTATATATATATATAATGTAAATATACATACAACAATCGATTACAAAACAGGACAAAATGTGTGGTGTCAAAATAAATCCCAGACCACCGTTCCAAATTGTCCCAGGATCGTTCCGGCTGAAATGAATCACTCCACACAATCAAGATATTTGTAGGAATGAGCGCGCGTAGATGTGTGTGTGTGGCGTGCTGGTATGTAGTGAGGATGATAACTTATGTATACGTTATACAGCGCATCTCGTCAAAGCATATAAAAGCAAGCAGACGGACAGTTGGGGTTTCATTTTATTTTTAATACAAGTTGTACATGAAAGCAAACAGACTACAATAAAATATAAAAGACTCAAATTAGCACCGAGTCTTGTTAAAGAGCAGAAGAGTTGGTCAGAAGTTTCAGCGCTACGCTCCAAAGTATGCAGAACCCCGGTTTTGTCTTGTTTTGTTGTCTTGTTTTGTTATTCATATTAAGCAAAGCATATATAACGACGTAATAAAGAAAGGCATCTTTCCATACATCATATAGGCCAAGCGACAAACGAGAAAGAAAATTTTTGAAAAATAAAACCTACAACAATAAAACACAAATAATACGAGCACAAATGATCAAGTAATACATTGCAATGGACATTGCAAAAAACAGACCATACCCAAGTTACGAGATGCGAAAGAATACACAACAACAGGACGGGGTGTGGATAGGAGATGTTTTGGAGCGTGTTTGGAAGAGATCATTTTGCAGAGTACACATTTATACACAAACACGGAGAGATACAAAGACGGGGGGGGGGGGGAGTGCATGGCTTATAGGATGTTCATGGTTTTAGCGGGGTGGGGGTAAACGTGGTCAAATCAAAGTCACGCTTACGTGCGTGCACAGCTTTACAACGCAATTCTTGTTTTTACTGTCCATTCATACAATTAACTCTCGCCTACACTGCTCCAATGTATAGTCAAAAGGAATGGGTTTTTGTTGTTGCTGTTGTTGTGATTATTGATGCGACGGGTGATGAGTCGGTCCGGTGTTATCGTTGTAAATATAAAGAGGGCCTCAATGAACCGCGATGCCGCGCATAAAAAAAAAGAAAGCAAATAGATTGCACAATCCGGGCCCCGGCTAAAACATTTGCGGCAATGCAGCAGCTGTTTATTTAACCCTGTCTGGGCGCCTGTGGGTGCTTCTTAATATCGGAAACCATCGGTGCTGTTATTACTATAATTATAATACGTACACTCAATGTGTGTGGTTTGTGTGCACGGGTATAGACACGCAATTAGATGCGTACAAAGTGCGGTCAACGGTTGCAAGAACACGTTGCTGAGATGTGTTTTGGCCGTGGCGTTCATGCCTTTTGGTTGTGGTACACACGGACGGGAGATAACAACGCAACTTCGGAAAAGACCTCGCAAAAAGTCTCGGCGCGAACCGCATCCACTCCCGAACCGTTGACCTATTGACCGCCTGCATGACACGGACAACATAACACACCGAGTGATGCGTGCGTGCAGCTCTACAAACATGTGCGTACGAATGTCAAGAGATGAATACATACAAAGACAAAGCCCCCCCCCCCCCCGTGTAGCCTTAACAAACTGCAAGGGGCAAGTGCTGTTAGCGAGCACCTATGAAGGCTGGCACGGCACACAAGGGGGTGGGTGGCCAGCACCACGCCCGGCCGCCTTTGTCTCCTTTTGCACGCCTGCTTGCTATTCGCGCCTCAGAGACATACTTCAGTTTTCGTGATTGCCCTGTTTAGCTCTCTGATCGGCGTCTGTTCGGGCTGTCACACCAATTGGGAATTGAAGCTACCAGCAACGTGGATCGAATCGTTCGACATCAAAAGCCGTACAACACGCGGTACAGCCCGCAAAAACAGCACAGCTATATACTCTCACACACACACGCGCGCCTACGGACTCGTTAATGATACTTTACACACGAAAATTGTATTTTCAACAGCAAGACAATGGGAGCGCCCCCAGCTTGCTTTGCATGTCAAGATGACATTGAGGCATAGACACTCACCAGGTGACCGGAGACTCCAATTGCAGACGTCCGTTAACATGTGTGTGTATATATACACACACAACACGGTTAACCATTTACAGATACCCCATGACTGTCCAATGACCCTTTCACTTTCTTCTCAACAGCTGATTGACTATTGGAAACAGCGACGGGGTCCTCGTAGCATTGCTGTTGATGGGAGACGATGTAAATGTGTTTTTAAAAAAAACTGGTTGTTTTACCCCCGATGCCTGCACTCTAATTTCTCCATATTATTCAGTGGGGTATCTGTAAATGGATCGCTCTGTAGTTACCGTTAGATGCCTGCCGTACGCAAGGAAAATCGCGTCTTTAACGGCACGGCAACAGCAGCAGCAGCAGCTCGACTCGGCGTAACTGCGCGTGTCAAGGATGATGATATTCGGGAACGAAAAGCCACACGCGTCAAATCAACGGAAGTGTCCAACAGCAATGAGCAGCGACGCGCATTTGTGGCCGCGATGAATGAACGCACGGAGTTATCCATGCTACACCTGCACGGCAGCTTATCAACACCTGTGCATGCGATTAATGTAGCCTGTAGTACCCGCCCCTCCCACCCCATCACCTTCCCCTCCGAAAGTGGTCGCCAATTGACTGCGATGTCATCTCCATGTCAGCTAACCGGAACTAAAGTCCGTGCCGAGTTGTTTTTTGCGTGCCAAAATCGCGTACATTAACAGCTACGTCAACGCGTTCTAATATATATATAACTACTAATATATATATACCGACGACTAATTCTGCTGTGCGAGTATAGTAGTAATACGAGACGCAGTTTTACATCGCCATGTAGAGCAGAGAAATACTAAACAGCGTGTCGGTTGATGCGCAACATTCATTACGTACAAGCAAAGTGACGAGCTTCTGTCTATGTTAAGTGTAGAGCGGACGGGTGTACGCATAAACATGGGACACACACGATACGCGGCGTGTAGCAGGTAGTGTATTATTATTATTATGGGTAAGTCACAACGCTACCAAAACAATCTGAAAGAAAAAAAATCAAAATCGCTCACAATTTCCAACGTGCCCTTCTCGACATATTCGAATGCGCTGTACGTTATGAAGATGTTGGGCCATTGCCTGAAACGTTGCCTACTATATATTATTTTTGTAGCTTTTTAGGGGCAGTGTGAATTACACAATGTCGAGTTTTTGTTGATTGTGCATTGCCGTCAATGCCGCTCCACCGCCCTGCCGTGTAGACTCACAACAAACACAAACGAATCTCACAGTCCCGTTATGACGGAACAACAACAAAAACGCCTTCAGATCGTACACTCGGCGAGGGCACTGAACGCAGCGGCCGGTCAGAATGTTCAGGACACCGATGGTAGAATTCCAAGGCGGTGCTCGCGAAAAAGTTTCGCGAATTCCGAGTTTGACCGCAATGCAACTTACTGACGCCACTCGCTCATCTGCATGTGCATGTAGGCATGGAATTCGTATACAGATATGCCATTGTGTTGATGTATAGTTCATATACACACACACAGAACTAAGCGGAGGGATTGCTTTCCACAGAACCGATTTAGTATATGTGTAATTTTAAAGCGCGGATTAGCGGCATTGGGAGTGTATACAGTAGTTGACACGCAGAATAACGTTACACAATCATTTCACGCGAAAGTAATCGTAATAAAGTGAGAACAGGTAATCGTGTAAAAAGCGGGAGTTTTATAATAAACACTACGGAAGTGTTTTGACATTCACTACGACGGATAAGACTAAGTGACCACCTAATACACATGTATAGAACAAGTACTGCATATATACTGCATAAGCCACACAACACCCGTGCCTTTTGCAGTGTGCGTGTGTATGGATGGAAACTTGTAATGCCACTTTAGTTCATGCTACATCACCACGCGACACCAGTTGGAAGGTGGTCGCACCGTGAAATACCCCCCCTCTCTCCCTCCGTGTAGCCTTCACAGACTGTTGAGGCACGCAAAGTGCCTTTAGCGAGCACCCATGAAGGCCGTCACGGCACACGAGGACGTGGGTGGCCAGCACCACGCCCGGCCGCCTTTGTCTCCCTAGTGGCGACATTTACATATCGCACCAGGTACTCATTTGAGGCCGAGTCGAGCTAGGGGAGGCCCAGGACACACACACACGCGCGCGTGCGCGCATAGATATGCATGTATACAAATGCTTAGCTTGCTATACATTAGCAAGACAAGAAAAAAATTCCGTCCTAAAGCATTGTAATGTATAAAATAACTTCATAGAAAATGTAGATATATTTCTTACGTATTAAGGTATCATTTACTAATAAATAAGCACCAGCACAAGGAGATACTTGTATTTAAAATAACTCCACCCCCCACCCTCCCCAAAAAAAAGTACCCAAATGTATTGTCGTAACGTACGCAGAAGCTGCTTTGGCAATTTTGTATTCTTGAATGTGTTTATTTATTCGTTTTTTTCTGTTAATTCACACAAGATAATAAGATGATTTTGTGTGTGTGTGTGCGTCTATACGGGGATGCCCTTGTTGTATTGGAGCAGTGTATAAAACATATTCTATATGTCAACCACACCGGCGCTCAATCGACGTAACGGAGCGTGAGAACAACGTGGACGGTAAGAGGTGACATCGAGACACACGCCCTTACACGTCAGTACACAACACGCACACACACAAACTGACGAGGACATACACCACATTCTGAATTTCAGTTCGCCTATAGGAGGGATGGAAATTGGGGCCGATGGGAGGAGGTGTGGATGGGTAAATGAGCCGCACGCGCAAACAATGCCACAATAACATCAACATATTAGCCAAGCTTCGTGAAGTTACAACTTTTTTTTAATTAACGAAGAAAAATAAAAGAACGTAGTAGTAGTAATAATAAGGAACTTCAATATATTGTATTATGCAAGTAAAAACCATGTGCATTTTAAATTGAACTGCACTTCAAGCACAATCAATATAGGGTTAACCTACACATCAATAAAGTGATGGCAAGTGTGTCATTAGCACCATAACACGTGGCAAATTCAGCACAATTTCTGATTGTGGTTTGCCACAGATAGATTATTAACGGAATAGAACTTTATATTTTATGTTTTTTTATTTCATAGTGCAAGTCTCTAAGATTTTTTATGTCTGCATTGGTCTTTACGGACGCGCTCTATAGTTTGCTATAAAGTCCTATAAAGTAGTCACAGCCAGCTTTTTTTTTGAAGAACCTCATAACCAGTCAGTATACAAGAAATCTTTACCAAAATAGTTGTAACAAGGATTAAGCTCAGCTGTTACATGCGCTATACGCGCGCACGTTATATTGTACGCGACTCTTCCTTAGCCTCAGTGAACCTTCTTTTTGTTTTACAGCCTTTAAAATGATCTCTTCCACAGTCCACTTTGAACAAAAACACAAGCGTTATTCATTTAAATCAGACTTTGTATTTCTTTGCTAACACGCGAGTCACTGGGTTTCTTACCTCTCTGCGCATTATACAGCAGGCAGAAGAAAAAAAGCAACACCGCTTGAGAAATATGCACCCACAAAGCTAAATATACTTATTTTATCCAAAACTAAGGGGGGGGGGGAGCAACTATGGAATAAACACTTAATCGGCTTGTGACTTAAAAATAAAAGTACACACGAAGGGTGGAAGGGAGGTTAGGGAGGAGGGGGGGTCAAATCACGACAAATCTAGCACTTAAAATAAAACTTGTTAACAAGCATCAACTGTAAAGGTTTTTTTTTTTACATCCAATTTCGTATGCGTGCGTTCAACATGCCACTCGATCCGCTGCTAATGTATATGTCACTAAACACCAGCTTATTCCAAAGTTCTATATCCATGACACGCGCGCACACACACGCACGCACACAGAGTAAGTTACTCTTAGTAAATCTACAAACTCGCAACGCTAAATACAGACGAGACCCCGTACACATTTAAACCGATGCGGTAAAGTGTTCATTTTGGGGGGGAAGGGACGAGGGGAGAGGGGGGAGGGGGGAAGGGGGGGCTTTCAACTGCGTGGGATATGCGAAGCTGGGTCACAAAGCATGGCGACAGAATACGTGTATATATGTTTAATATCGTGGACTTTTGACTTTTTTTATTTTGTATTTTTTTTAAAGTGCTACAACGTTTCAGACACCGCATGCCTGGCCTCCATAGATACGCATTTGTTTTATGTAATATATATGTAGAGGTTATTATGCTCAAGACGTGATGTTACGTAGTCTATACACGTTTGTGAAATAACTCTGTTGGGAGGGGTTTCTCTCCTTAAATTGACACAAAATAAAAAAACCTGTTGGAATTCAAAGCTCTCAATTTTGCACCTGCGGCTGTCAAATCAGGACACGAGAGTTGAGTTGCAAAAGGTGTCCCGTAAACCTATTGATTCGCAAAACTCATGATTTTATTGTACTGTTTTACGGTAAGCTGTACATATGCGATTTCGTTTCAATATTGATGTCCTTTTTGGTTTTTGTGTATCTACTGTAAACATTACGTATACCGTAGTGATAAGGCATTGCTATTGTTTCAAAACGCATTTAAAATGCAAGCTGAAAACGGTTGGATTGTCCAATGGCGTGTTTATATTGCATCCCAATAGGCCACATTTCACCTCTGGAGAAGAATCCCATTGTGCAAAATCGTTATTTGTAAGCACACTGCAACTTTACAAAATTAGACTAAAAAAATAATAACGTTAAGCAACAACAAAACTGTTCAGATTAGATAGCAGGCTAACGCATATTACAATCCGGCTGACTGGTCTACTATTGTGCATGTATGCGACGGATCAAGGAGTCGCAAAAAAAACACAATGACAAGATTACGGTTCGGGATTGTGGTCGGTGACGTCCCTAAGTGAAGGGGGTGAAATAGCTTCCCTCGGCCCACAGGTGACGACAAAGCTCCCGGTATTGATAGACAAGCTCCGACTGCATAAAGCAAGTGATGAACTGAATGTCATAAGCCCCTCCCTGCCCCCTTATCTCCCTCCCACCTCTCCCGAGTCCATCAACGATTTGTAGCGAGTGACAATACCCCCCCCCCCCTATTGTACGCAAAGATCAAACAGCGTCAACTTGAATCCGTACAACAATTTTTGACAAATTGTATAAAGTCTGCAACAACGCTCAAGAAAAAAAACAACCGATGCAAAGTCTATTTCAATGCCCATAAGAATGTCAATCAGAAGAAGCCTTTCGCATTCTCAGCATCAAGGACTGCCTCCAAGGCAGAAACAAATCAACAAAAACCACGGACAGGTCTTGTTTTTTTTAAACAAGATGTGCTTCAGCAGCACTTGGACACAAAAAAAAAACCATGAGCTATCGTTAAATGTTAGTTTAAGAATAAAACGCCGAGGCGGGGAGGGGGCATACCTCCTCCCACCGGTTAATGCTTTGTAAGGAGGGGGGGGGGGATCAGCACCTCTGCATGGCCGCGGGCGACAAAAGTTAAACATTTATAGAGCTGGGATGATGAGTCGATCGAGCCAAATAAATTGACTGGAAATTGTAGTCCATTGGGTGGATTACCCGTGCCCCTTTAAATATAACAGCCACCACTAGATCTTGATTCCCAAAGATGGAAGACGCTCCACAAAGCCACTTGGAAAGACGCCGATATTACCAAGTTCCGCCCATCACCCCCCCCATCCCCCAAGTACTTTCATGTCATCCCATTGTCTAAGTCATCAAACCTATTAAATCGGCAGAGTAATCGAATACTTCAATAATCTGGAAATCCCAGCTCTAAACATTTCCAAAGGACAACATAGATGTTTCAAACTGCTCAAGTAAATTTTCTTCCCTGGAAAAAAAAGCTATTGTCAGCTCTGGCCTTCACTGACTGCTGGAGCCCATCACCACCAGACAATGCATTGGAAAAGCGTACACAGGGGATGGGGAAAAGCATCACCTAGAAATGTCACAAAAAACCGCTAAATTATATTTTAGAACGCTTCAACCACCTATTTCAGATTTGGTATCTCTGTTTAAAAATCATTCGTCGATTCACTAATTTACATGTCATTACCGTTATCATCGTTAATATTATATAAAGAATAATATGCTGAATACAGTCTCGGGGTATTTACACGTACGTAACGAGATCTTGTCGGGCCTGTTGTAAAGCATGCTGATAGCACCTTCGCCTATCGAGAACAGATGACTACAAACTCCTGCAATTAATTTCTAGAAAGGAACCTGGAGTTACACATCAACATAATCGATCATCCATTAGCAGCACATTCAACAGAGGTTGAATTTTCGCTTCGGGTTTCCTCGTTCTTAGTACTCAGAACTGTCTAGACATCGACCTTTAACCCCCCCCCCCCCCTCCGTTTGCCTTTGGAGCATCATATATACGGCAAAACCCAGTAGCTGAAGAATGCACAATTACCAAAGAATATATTCTGTAACTGCTCCGCATGAAGCTAGGAACCCTGCCTAAATTAGTAACCCAAGCGTTATTCATTGGGAAGGCCTTTTGTTTTCTTTGTACTGTACAAATCAAGCCTTTTTTCAAAAGAGTATATACAGATGGATCAACTGTAGTGGATGAATGGGGGCTGGCAACAATAGCAGGAACACAGAATGAAGATACTGACACGGGGACCCTGCATCATTGCCTGGGACTTGGCCTGCCCGTAAAGCTTTGCTGGTCCGTGCACTTCTTGTTACAAGTTTATAGTCCTGGACTGCTGCCGCTCGATGTGCCAGAGTCAGACCGTCCCATTGACTTTACAAGGGGAAAAGCAACTCTCGTCACTCACCTCCTTCCCCTCCCCTCCCACCACCAAGAACCATCTGACATTCTGAAACCCATGCTTCCACGCGTGCGCGCACACACACACACAGACAAGCAGAAACTTTGGCCGCAGTAGTTGCAGCAGCCAGGAAAGTGCATAAATGACGCACTTCCAGCAGCAGTGATGTCGAGCTCGTCCCACGTGGCGAGGGAATTGCACACGTGGTAGCGTGCCGATGACTTGTAGCAGCTTTTACCCCCCTCCCGTAGCGGGGCGAGCAAAGATGATAATTTTCAATTCCAAAAGAAAAATGTTTCCTTAGCAACTGCATGTCCTCCCTAATTGTGCAGGCTAACCGGATTTGTAATCACGTATATTAAAACTTCCGTCGGAAATGCTTCCAATGACACCCGAAGCTGTCCGGATTTTGTTAAGCCAAGACTGCCAAGTTTAAGGTTGCAAGCAGTTGTTTGATTGCCACATGCAATATTGGAATCATTTCCTTTATTCGCATCACTTAATATTTACTCGACCCAAAACAGAAGCTTGAATGATAGCTTACATTTCTCAAATACCCAGAGGCCAAAGAAATGTATCTAAATTTCATTGCTCTGCAAGGTGCACAGCACCGCATTAGAAGATCAAATCACCTGCCCAGCATTTAGAAAGTTTGAAAGCATACTCCACAGGCATTACAGAGAAACCATTTCCCCAAGTTACCATTTTTTTAAGTACGTTACACTCCGAGATGTATGATAAGATAAAGTATATCTCCCAAATGTTCAATGTCACCTGGAAATCCTCACATTTTATGTTTGTACACCTGGTGCAAATTTAAGATCTTCAGTTTAAATTACAATAGGAATTCATTCTCATGTATTTTTTTATGTTCCTTACAAAATAATAAAAAAGGTCAAAATGTGCACAAGTACATTCATTGTAGCACAGCAATATCTTCTGTTTTAATGTTAGCACCATTGACAATAAATTTCATTGGGAATATTCATAGGCTTGAAGTTACATCTCACTTACATTTAATACTAACCAAAAATGTACATTGCTTTATCCTCGTTAAACTTTGATGACCACTTTAATTAAAAAAAACAGTGCCCATGCAGACAAAAACAAATATTTTTTACCGTGACTCTACATTCTAAAGACACCTAAGATAAACCGAGATATACCTACAGGTTCACATGGGAGATTGAGGAATTACAACGTAGCAAAAAAAACCAAGGAATGCTGAATTATGATTTCATAAGCCTTAAAACTGAGTGAGAAATAATAATTACGTTTGAAAGGGAAGAGGAAAGCTTCCTCGTTGGCATCAGCAGCACTAGGTGGCAGTGCACGAAGGTTGCGTGGCAGCTCTCCGTTCACTCGGCCAATGCGTTTCTTCTGGCCTGTGGGAACCATCATTGCTTCTGCAATGCTGCGTCAGAGCCCAAGCAACAAGGAGGCATCCAACGTTCAAATGAAAAACCCTCTCTCGAGTTTTAAGTTACAGCGGAGTGCCAAAAGCCTCCCCTTCAGGGTTGCTTGACCCGATTACTGTAAATTAATCACATCCTTTTCCATCCCCCCCCCAAAACCGAAAATTTTTAGGAAAAGCAACTCCACTGCATTAATAATAGTGCACTGCTGTGTATGAAACGCTTGGTTGTTAAATTGCATCCCCCCTCTACCCCTCAAAAAATGCGTTGGCAGACTTAGGTTGTATTTGGATTGAACCTGCCATTCAGCTTTGTCAGCCTTCCATACCACCGTTTTCATGTGGGGGGCACTTGAGAATTTGTTTTCTTTACGTCACTGCATACAACCGGAATTAAACTTGTCCGTACTGATCAATGAAGATGAAACGGCGAATAATTGGGAAGCCAAGTCATAAACGTGCGCAGTAAAACTGTATCACAGAGGCCAGGCGACGGCACTTAACTGCACGACCGTGCTGAATTCGGAAATCCTGTCACATCGTGATAACGCTCACCGCTACTGCAGCGTTCGAGTCTCTCACACACCGCCGATTAGCACGGTTGGCTACGCACGGCGCGCGAAAGCACTTCAACATACATACAGGGCAACGGAGATCCGCCGTACAACAGAAGAACAAAAAAAGAAAACCCACCGGGCCACCAGACTAAACGCCTGCAAAGCAGGATATTTACTCTAAAGGCCGCAGGGCAAAGGGGGGAAAAGGGAAATTGGAATCGCTATAATATTAACATACCAACACCACGCTGCAAACGCCAATCCTCGCATTCTTTATATTTTGACACAAGCAGGTTTAAACTTTAATAACAGGCATTTATGTTCGTCTGCCTGCCCTAAGTTTGCCTGTCACTGGCCCACGCCCAACTTAACCAACCACCAAAATGAAAAGAAAAAAATCACAATCTTGAAAATGCTTCTCGGTTAAGAGGAAAGGTAATGAAACCAAGCAAAAAAAAATACACGATTGGCTTTTACGGCAGCCATTTTAGCAAACCTGCAATAATTATAGAGACTGTAAACATTAAGTCGTCCAGTTCATGCAAAGCGAGTGTTGCTGCATCACTACAGGCAAACCCAGCAACCTCGCTCTGCATTATCCTCCAAATTCTGGCACAATGTCTGTGGCTTCTCATTTGACATTGAAGCTAGCCTGGTGCTGGCGAGTTAATGTTATCGCAGTCAAACCCAAATGAAAAAGCATAACAAACAATGTTAACATTTCTACTGGAAACATTTTTGTTTTACAAACCAAACTCCGCTTTTTTTCTCTCAATCATATCCTCCTGAAAGTGTACGCTGCACTGTAGAGGACTCGTGGCAATGGCCAATTTGCACTGCCTGTGAAATTGAACCCAGTTTCTCGAGCCAAAGTTCAAAGTTCACTTACAGTGTGACACACCACTTAAGACAGCTGTTTAACCCCATTCCTACAATCGGCATTGCAAGCCAACGTGGACCTACATTTGAATTTCACTGCAGAGACCCAATAACTCTGCAAACAATTCACGCCACCCGTGTATGTTACCGACAAATTTGGAAGGACAATACAAGCGAGAACACGAGCATTCGAGCCAATTGGAATGCCAGTTTAAAAAAAAAACTTGTCTTGTTGAGTGAAACATGATGGGCCATGCATTTAGAATGCCCGCTTATTAATTCACTTTGCCCGGTTGTAGACAGTCCATTTCCGACACTTCCACCCGTCAGGAAAGGGTTAACACGGTGCCAAGTCAGCCAGCAGAAATGTAAAAAAAAACACACTGGGAAAAACCAAATAGCCTAGGTTATAAGAGTTGCGCGTTTCTAAATGGACTTAACATTAAGTTAACGCACAAACGCAAGGCTCAAAAACTCATGACTTACTACCCCCGACCACTTTCTAATGTTGTTTATATCTATGTATATTATTGCCTTAACACGACGTCCAATGAGCTGAGTGTAGACACGCCGAGAGGCTGAGTGTAGAAAGGCGTGCTGGCATCTTAAGAGTTGGTTGGCACCCAATACGCCAGCAAAGCCGCACCAATTATGTTGCCGTTTCTGTACACAACAATGCAAACAAACTGCAATTCTAGCAAGTACTGCACTACACCCGGATTACAAGTTGTCCTAGTTATGGAGGTGCTCATGAGTTACGGTAACATACATTTATCAATGACGAAACAGGTGTTGTAATTGGTTTTATATATAAATAGCAGCATATATTGGAACTGTTTCCCTTCCTGGCTGCCTACCTTGGGCCTTCTGCTTACAAGAATCACAATGGTTGACTACAACTTTTGAGACCACCGCTTTTGTTTTTAATTTCAAACCTGTGATGGACACACAAATTCATCCCACAGCAACACACTGTTAGGTTGCAATGTAGCAAAAGAAAAATCCAATGGAACATTATCCATTAGCAATCCAGTCGACAAAAACACTCAATTTGTGCATTGCCTGCCCATCCCCGACTCTGAACCCCACCTAGCAACACAGAAAATGAGCCCAAGGTCAGGTTGAGATGTGCGGTGGGGTGGGAGAATGGGAGGGGGGGTCAATTAATGGGAGGCTATTGGGCCACGGACCTCGTAAAATAAAATAAAAATCTGCCACGTAAATAGATATTCTTTTTTGTGTCGTCGCATATTTTTTTTTTACAACCGTAAAATATATATAGCTATATAATAACCCAATCGCACAATCGACGTGGCCTACATTTGTGTCCGGACACTCGCTGTTGGATCGGTGGCAACTCCAAAACTATTACAAAGAATAGCTAAAAAATGCCTTCCCTTCAAACTATGGGATTCTTTGGGGCCATACATGGTCTGAGCTCACTGAACTGGCTAAAAAACGAACATGTACATTGCTTTACGTGGTTTACTTTTTGCAGTTAAAGATAAGCAAACTTTGGGCGGACCTGCATTTGCAATGATGCAGCAGCGACTGTGTTGTATATATTTAACCTAAACACAAATAACACGCAATTTTCATTCTTAAACCACGAGTCCGTAGTGGCTGGATAACATTTGTTTAGCCTTTGATAGAACCCCAATTCTGATTGTGCCAAGCTATTACATAAAATCCAATCAAAAGACATAAAACGATAGTGTGCATACTATTCGAATGTTTTTTTCGCCACTCAAATTGCACGGTCATTATAAAACGTAAGTTACCTTTTGGGAAGGGAAATGTTAAATTAAAATACGTTAAGATATTTCTTTTTTTTGTCAACTCCCCCCCCCCCCCCCCTATACGAAACAAGTACGAAAAAACAGTGCTCATTAGCAATGTCTAGGACATTTCATGTCAACTGCTTCCAGCAAATGTGGGATTGTGGACTGCGCAAGAAGATAACATAAGGCCGAGATGCGACAAACCTTCCAAAAGCACTGCTGCTGCTAACAGGTGGTGGTGAAAGTGGGGTCATCGGGAGGAGTGGTGGTTGATTTGAACTTTAATCTTCAGATGCTGTTCTGCTCTGTAGTGACGTCTTCACCTTAAACGATGAATGACTAGAGAACAGGACAGTCCAGCAAGCCAAGTTCAATTCACAATTCACTCTTCGTTTCTCACATTGGCATTTTCCTTTTTGCATTTTCTTACGTTTTCTCTCTTCTCCATCATTCTTGTGAATATTTTTGTTTCGCAGTTTTTTCGTTTTTTCTGTTTCCGAAAATAGAATAATCAAGTGATGACAAATTAAAATCTCACCCACAGATGCCCCCCATTCCTTCCCCCTTCACCCAATCCCAACCCCCAACACCGCTCACACCAACCCCAAAACACCACGCAGAAGGGCCTCCATCTTCTGAATAACGACAAACCAAAACAAAAAAACAAAATTAACCACAATAAAAACCAAAAAAATAATTAAAAACAAAACTGTGAATGGGCATAACATTATTTTTTTTGATGGGGTGGGGGAAGGGGGAGAGGGGGAAAAAAATCGTAAAATGAAAACATTAATAGTAGTAATCATGGTGGTAGTAGTAGCAATAACAATAATAAACCATCAACCGATTGAATCAATCTTCTCCGTCGTCGCCACCTCCTTCCTCCTCCTCCACGGGCTCGGCTCTCTTCTCACGCTGCTTCTCCTGAATCTTCTTCATCTCGTCGGAGTAGCGACTGAACGTGGCACCGAACTTGGCCCACGCCTTCAGCGGCACCGTGATGGAGTTGCGGTAGCTCGGCTTCACTTCGCTCACACGCATGAACACGCCGTACTTGTTGGCACCCACGTCGAAGAAGAAACGCTTGTTATCCACCGTCACCGCCGTGCCCTCTGGCAGCTCCGCGGGCTCCTCGTCCACGCCGAAGTCATCGATGAGCTTGGCAAGCGCGTCTCGGAACTCGATCATCCCCTGTGCCGGCAGGGCGATGGTCTGGCCCTGGGCACCCAGGCCGGGGCCCCGGCTCACCGTCTGGCGGACCCGCAGGAATCGGCCGCGTTGGTTCTCCTTGAGGTCCATGTAGTACTTTCTGTTCTCCCTCACCAGGAACTCGCTCTTGAGGGCACGGCGTGGCTCGTCCGGCTGCTGCAGCTGCTGCTGCTGCTGGTGGGATTGGTGGTCACCGCCGCTGCCGATGCCGCCACCGCCACCACCACCGCCGCCACCGCCGCCTCCTCCTCCACTCATGGCGGAGCTGGGCCCGAGCTGCGCGTAGTGCTCGATGAAGTCGCCCAGGTAGTCTCGGAACTCGACGGCCACGGACATGGAGAGCGTGAGGCGGCTCTTGCTGCCGCCCGCGCCAACCTCGGCGATCTTGAGGAAGCGGCCCTTGGCGTTCTGCTTCACGTCCAGGTAGAAGCGTTTGTTCTGGATGTCGACGCGTTTCGACGCCAGCTCCTGCGTCTCCTGCTGCTGCTGTTGCTGCTGCTGCTGCAGGGGGTGCATGATGCCGCCACCGCCGCCGCTGCTGCTGCCGCCCGCCGCTCCTTGCTCGCTGCCGCTGTCCCTATCCGCCATGATATTAGCCTTCTTCCAAGGCGGACGAGAGGGGGCGGGGCCACGGGGGAGGGGGGGGGCAAGGGGCGGGGCCACGGGGGGCGTGGTCAGGGGCGGGGCGGGCAGAGTTGGGGTGGGGAGTGGTGGGACAGCGGTGGGGGGAGAGATGGGATGGTGGTGGAGGGGGCGGATGGGTGAGTGGTTTTTTTTTTGGGGGGGGGGGGGTGTGGGAGAGTTGGTGGGTGAGCGGTGTGGGTTAGCAAATTTCGAGTGGGTTTTTGGGGGGGTAGGGGGCGCAGGGTAGGGTGGGGGTGTATTTATGGGGTGGGGGTGTATATGGGAAATGAGTGTGGGTGGGAGAGTGAGTTAGGAAATTGGGATTTAGGGGGGCTGTGGAGGTTTATATGGCAGGGGTTAGAGAGAGGGGGTGTGAGTTTTGGAGGGTGGACAGGGATATACAGGAGATGTGGGGGGGGGGGGTCTGAATGAGTGAGTTGTGGGGGGCCCTGGAGTGGAGAATAGATGTATGCCAGAGACGGGGGGGGGGGGGGAGAGTCGAGGTATACGAGACGGGGTAATACGTTGTGGTGGTGGTGATCGGTTTGCAAATACGATGAGCGGACGAGGAGTGTAGGAAACTGATGGTGAGTTGGGTGAGTGATGCGGTGGTGCAGGGGGTAGGATGGGAGAGGTCCCCGGGTAAGAGACGAGGCCGTGTGGGTGAATGAGACGGATGCCAAGAATGGAGATTCAGGAGGAGCACGAACGAGTGGCCGAGGCAAAGGCAGGGTAAGGGGCGGGGCTGGTCTAAGAGACGGGGGGAGGGGTGCGGGGGAGGGGGGTCCGCGTCACGATCTCGTGAGATCACACGCGAGGGGGGAGCAAATGGGGACGCGTAAGGAGTGGAGACTGGATACAGTAAAATCGCGATGTATTTGAGTTCGTTTTTTTCAATGGGTTTATTTTGTAGTAATCGTTCGTGGAAAATTACAAGAACAGTTAGGGAGAACAGACTATATACCGAGTCCTTGGTCTCGTGCTCCAAAATAATCATACAAAATAAGTGATAATGTTTTACTTTTGTTTTAATGTAGCAACTAAGTCACTGTACCAACATTTTGGTTTCTGTTGAGTTAAAGTTTCCACCTACATTATACATATTAGGGAAAAAAGTTTTGCTGGCTTCCTGGTCGACTGGCGGGGTGGTGATGTCACCGCGCACATTTGCGTGATGACCTCACCCGCATCCCAACGCTGAGCCTAGTTCGTGCATACTGCAAGCAGACAAACAAAAAACACTACGCTACTTTGTATCTATAAAAAAAGAACTCAACACATTCTTCAATAACACAGCCTTGAAAAATATATGATGTGACGTTTTTGGGGCAATTGGCCCTTCTGCATAACAATATATGTATACCTTTTTTGAGTTAAGGTCTAAGCAGCGGAAATTACATTTCCTACCTTTTATACATGACAGTATATTTCATCATCACCTTTAGCCATGGTCAATCCACTGCTGCATGAATGCGACCCCTATCCTGGGCCATCTCTCATGGTCATGTAGTGTTAGTTAAGTTAATCCACTTAGCATCTGCACGCGAGCTGATGCTACAGTGTAGTTATGCACTCCATACGTACTATATTGCATTTTGCACGCGTGTCCTTTACGACAAACCTGATACATTAAGTAAAACTGGTGCTCTACAACCACGCACTCACCAGTTTGGGGAAGTATGGTCAAACAACCCCCATTACCGATATGGTGTAGTGAGGGACTTCATCAGCCAGATGACTCATAAACCCTGTAAATTGTTATTTAAGAAGCCACTGAAATGCAGTTTTCTTTTCAAGAGAGACCTACATTTTTCTTAAAAGTGCACGAGCAAGGTTAATTACACGAGCTCAACAAAGTAGGCATAACTTAAGATAAAATCATCTTAGATCTTTTTAGATAGATGCACTTTAAAAAAGAGACAAATAACTCCAAATAACTGGATGTGATTGTAATGATAGAGAGGGGCGCCAGTACAAATGCAATCGATGTCATGTGTAGTAGATTGCACTTGCAAAACCAGAGGTTGCCGGTTCAACTTCCTGGCTCGGCAGTTGCAACATTGAGCAAGTTATACCGGTAGGAACCTCCTGGTTACACCAGCCCACAGGGGATTATTGTGTCCGTCGTGCAGGGAGGGGCTGGGTGAGGAGGGAGGGGCTGGGGAGGGTGGGGAGGGGCTGGGTGGGGAGGGTCGGGAGGGGCTGGGTGGGAAGGGGCTGGGTGGGGAGGGAGGGGCTGGGGAGGGTGGGAAGGGACTGGGTGGGGAGGGTCAGGAGGGGCTGGGTGGGAAGGGGCTGGGTGGGGAGGGTGGGACTGGGTGGGGGGTGGGAAGGGTGGGGCTGGGCGGGGAGGGGCTGGTCAACCCGTGGTGCCCTTATAAAACTCAACGTTTAACCTACTCACGCCGGCTTGTGCTCGCCCTCACAGTCGGGCATATTTGCGGAATACACCACGCCGCCGTTGCCCATAACCATTGACCAAGCAACCCAACGTTCCTACCAGCTCCCTCCGCAGGAATGTATTTTTAACCCCCTTTCACCTCTATCCACCAAACATTTTAAAAGAGTAGACCCCGAAATCGGCAATTGGCAGGTAGCCTTCTGCGGGATAATATGACGTCACAAAGCTTTGCCCCCCCCCCCCAAAATAAAACATGCTTCAAATCGCTTTAAACTATTGTCATTGTAGTGCGTATTTAATGTGGCGCTGCACTCTGATGTTGTAGGAGAAAACAGTTATTACAAAGTCTATTTAATTAAGTAGAACGTGTTGTCTATATTTATTTAAAGTTGCGCATTGTTCATGTTTTTGTTTTCTGTTTGTTGCGGTTGCACCCTATTCAAGAGCCGAATGGCTCACAGGGCTATACCTAATAGATGAACTTGAACTCGTAACAAAGCCACCATGGTCACCACTGTTATCAGTGCCTAGTAGTCTAGTACACTCGGCATGCAGGCTGGCTGGCGAGCTGTAAGAGGGCTCGAATATTTAGGATTTGTTATTTCAGCGGGACCACACTGAATGATGTATAATGAATTGCATCGCCACGTTTCTCGTGTTAAAATACAGGTATTTAAAATAGAAACCACGTTGACACCAACTTATCGATGAAATGAAGGGCAATTTCCCCAATACGTTGGCTGTTGTGTTTTCTTTCAATGATGGTGTTGTTGACTGATGTGTTAAAACAACTTTTGTTTGATTTGTATCTTTGCACCACTGCCAAACACAGTATCACAAAGAAAATGTACTGTACATCTAAACTTTGCAGAATGTTGGCTCGAGGCAACAATTTATGCTCGCTTCAAAAATATTCAAATCGATTCATATTTGTTCGTGATGCTGTTAAGTGCAGAAATAAGGAGGTAATGTTTCGATTGGCCCCAGATGTATGGGGTTTTTATTTCACTATTCTCTGCTCGAGACCCATACGAAGTGAGGGCTGAGGGGAGGGGTTAACATGGGGGCAAGGGGGGTGAGGGGGTGGGGAGGGAGACAGGAGGGGGGCGGGTGCAAAACAAAAGTTCCGAAACTGAAACGCCACTTCTCATTGGTCCGATTCACCGCGTTCGTGACGTCGCCGCAAGCTTTCAGCCAATGGTAGCCGCCCTTACGTTGGCCTCCACTCAACCCACCCACGCAATCCCCCGAGCCCCGCCCCTGACTCATCACCCCCCTCCCCGTCACCCCCCGCCCCACCAATCCACCCCCCCTACGCCCCATCGCAGGTCACGTGACGTCTGGTCGCAGCCGCCGCTTTGCATTTCATATTCAGAATGCGCGTGACGCCGCTCGCGATTGGTCAAGGTGCCCCCCCCCCGCCCCCACCCCCCGCGCGATATAACGAGCAACGCCATAGGGCCGAGCGCCTATTCGTTGTAGGGAATGCAAATAGCTCCGTCAAGAGGCCCCGCCCCTTTTCTGTCCCCCTAAAGCCCCTCCCCTCGTCGCCCCTAAGCCCCGCCCCTCAGCCCTGGAGCCCCTCCCCCTCCGTCCCACGCGTGTCCCATGCGAGGCGTGCTTTATATAACACTACTCAGGCTGGAGGCACTGTACTCAAGATTGGCGCACTGTACTCGGCGAGACACCCCGGACGGTCACGCTGCAGCATTATGGGGGCAGCCGTGACCCTATCCACTGCTGGATGAAGCCGCTCTTCGGTTGAGCGCTGTCATTTGTGGGCTCTTCTAAAACGAGATCATAGCTCACCTGATGAGATACGAAAACAAATGGTTTAGGTTTATTTGTAAGTCATTGTTTTTTTTCACCTGTCCTATACTCTGCACTCCTGGACATCGTTTTAAAAAAATAGCTTTATAGCTCATCGGATTCCTCAGTATGAATACATTCTGAGTGGTAATCTTTCACGGCTCCTCCAATACACTAATATATACAATCCGGTGAATCCACTTAGCTCCTGTGCACACTTTCCCTCGTTCCATCTCGCCATGCGGTCGTGTTCCCGTGCGCGTTTGCCAAAGGCAACCACCACCATCACAGCCACTGCTGATATCGCCACTAAGTGGCGGTGACGTCACCACGACGCTTGTGCCAGGCTAGGTGCACCTTGAGGCCACGTGAAGTGTCGAACGCCCGCTGGCAGGTCACGGGGCAGACCCAGCAGGTGCCACGGGTCGACTAACTGAGATGACCGAGATGACTGGCTGATGCACCACCTGTGCCCCCTACTGTGCCAACTTGCTGTGCTTTAGCCACCCGGCGCTCCGTTCGTTGTTGTGAGCGTCGCTCCTCCGCCCTCCGTTGTTGTTGGAGGGCGACTGCCTCCAACTGCCCAGTAGCGTCCTTCACGAGCCTCCTCCACAGAGGCCGATCTTGACACCGCTGGTACCAGTCATCGGCAAGTCCACTCAGCTCCACGTCCTCCTGTACCACATCACTCCATCTCTTCTCTAGCCCGTGCCGCGCCCGTTTAGCCCCCTCGATCCGGTCGAACAAAAGCTGTTTAGGCATGCGGTGGCTGGGCATGCGGGCTACATGA